AGTGTGTAGGTTTTAGCTTGAATTTGATAGGAAGTGCGAATTTTGGAAAAAATTTGCAATAGATATAAATATAATTGTACTTAATAATAGTGAAGTCCATGCAAGAGTACGAGGGGAAGGGGGTGTTGGGTTGGAGGTGATAGACCAAATATCACNTTCAAATAAGGCTATTCCGTGAAAGGAAATGTTTTGTTCGTGAAATTCTGTGTCTGATGCATTTTATTTTACGGTAAATTTTCGCAAGAGTAACGTACCGTACAGAAATTTCGTTTCAGTGAAATTTTCTGTAGAAAGCCTCGACTGAGCCTCCGAGATTTGTTGGTGACTAGGAGTCCAGCTTGATCGTCTTCTCTGGAGCTTCTAAAGAGGAAAAAATATTTGTGATTCACTGTACCACCTTTTCAAATTACAAGAGCTACTCTGAAGGGCCGAGAATCCAGAAGCGATGAGGACGACCTTTACACGAGTGGAGATCTTGGCCGGCACCCCGAGCTCAGAGCTCCTCATGAATTAGCATCAAAGCAACGGGCACCCTAGTTGAAACGTTACGCCATATACTGACATGACGTCTTCAACTAGAGTGTCCGTTGCTTTGATTCCTTGTTGATAACCGGAAACCGTTTAGAACTTCAAGGGTGCGCGCATAGAGTTGCTGTTTGGAAGCTTTAACATTCGACATGTATACTTGCTATATTGCGGAGCTTGGGAGACAATTATCCGTTTGTGTAAAAGAATTTTCGGCTGGTAAACGAAAAAGAGTAATTGCACCGCATGGGAGAGAAAGCGAAGATGTTCTTACTTTGATAATAAGAGCACGATTCTGGCCCACGTAAGGGCCCGTGCTGGTAAAACACATGAGACCTTCTGTATATGCACCAAAATCCATGCATAAATAACAAGGATGGAAACAAGGATGCATAGACAAAAATTAGCCCCACTCGCCTTATATCTCACTTCTTGGGCTTTGGGGGTACTCGATACCCGAATTCCCACGATTGCACGCAAGCACAAGGCAGTGATCTCAGCGGCAATAACCGTACCAAAACACAAATCCCACACAAACACTGCGCGCTCCGTGCACGCGACGAGTGCGCCAAAGCGTTATGCCCTAACTCCAATGAGTACGTGGGCGCCCAGATCCAGAATCGAATGGGTAGAAATGACACTCGTGATAACGTGACCCAATCGTGCTCTGGTCAGCAAACCGGGAAAAAAGGGAAGATATGTCCGTAAAGGCTCACTTTGCAATTGAACGTGGGTATGAAGAATCACTTTTCTCCAGCACAGTGTACCTGACAGGAATTAGGAGAATAATTCCTTCGGAGAAAGAAAGAAGACGTACTATTGCATCTTCCGCACCTGTGCATGGGTCCATCTAGTCGTCTGGGTCCTTTCGCTTGAGTACTATTTCCTCGTATCGATCGACAGCTGACGCGGGCGCTGGCGGAAGAGCGCTGGCAGTATGAATACTTCCATTGAACATGCGATGCGGCAATAGCGATTTGTCACCAGGAGAAGCGTGACGTACACATCTTCTTATGTTTCGCGAGTTCACGTCTCATCGCCATAACCGCACCTCAAGTGGGCGAGTTGAAAAGTTCTGAAAATCCTTATAATATCCTTACTCTTTAATAATTAAAATAAACGATGATAGAAGGCTTGAGAACATTCAACACAAGAAAAACTCATAGATGCATAATAACGTAATGGTAAGTTGTAGATCTAGGTGAAGGAGAAAGTCGCTAATCCACCCGATCATCTATCTCACCGAATCAAATCTAAGACTTTTTGTCTAGGTTTCAAAAATACACGGAACACTGAGTGCAAAGACGTCAACAATTTTTTTCTTGCCTAGTTAGGGGGTTGTATACAAGTGAACAGTACCTAGAACACGCTCGCCTACTCCCAACAGGGATTTTAGTCAAAAAAAGGAGAGAAAGGAAGCGAACTCACTCCGTTTGTTGAAGTTCACTGTCACAACTTTCAGTTCTTTCTGAACAGGGCGAATACTTGGCGAGAATCTAGTTTTAAGATAAAAATCCTACTTTAATCCTAAGACATTTCATCATGACGACTTTCAAACTTACTACCTTTATGCGTTCACTTTTTAGCCACTTTTTGATCTACGCATAGCGGTAGCGTTGCTTGGGCGCGGGTTTGCAACGCACGGCGATCACCTCCGCTTCCAGGAGGTCGCCTATTTGACGTTTTACTTTCATTTCTCTTTCATATTTCGTCGTTTTTCATATTTCTTATTCATCATGTCCATTCTATTGTCTGTTTGCAATCCTCTTAGCCTACCGTAATGACCGTTTAACCTTCTGAGCGTTCAATGCTTTTAATTCAACTTGAAAGAAGGCGTTTTTGTTATTTCTCTGTTACATGCTACTTTAATTGCTATGGATACATCTATGCAGCGCTTTGAATACTGTCCAAATCGATCCTCTCTTGAAATTTGGGTGCTATTCAAAATCACTTATCAGCTCTTTTTGAAATTGATTAGTTAGTGAGTAATGCTTCAACTAGGTAAAGTCAACAAAGTTATGGGTTCAGTGACTAGTTGTTCAAACACTGAGGTAAATCAGAAAGCCATTGGCATTAATCATCAACAAAAGTAGTTCTCACTATAAGTTAGGAAAGGAAATGTAGTGTGTAGGTTTTAGCTTGAATTTGATAGGAAGTGCGGGTTTTGGAAAAAATTTGCAATAGATATAAGTATAATTGTACTTAATAATAGTGAAGTCCATGCAAGAGTACGAGGGGGAGGGGGTGTTGGGTTGGAGGTGATAGACCAAATATCACACCAGCTAGCTTCACTGAAACAACTGGAACCTCGTTCTCTGGCAGCAGTAACCATCTTGTATGGTGGAGCAGCTCATCATATTGTCATGCGTAAGTAATCATGGGGCAATTGCATCTGTTTTTGCTTGGATTCAATGACTACAAAAAATTCACCTATCTTCATAACCAATGAAATCTAGCGTAGATGAACATTTTTGTTTTTATATGGAATGTATGTTATCGCTGGAAGTTAAGAGCATCGATATAGTAAAAATTTGAAATGAAATCAAAGAAACCCACGAATTCAAATGAGTCCGTGGGTCAAGACGAATTCACTACTAGGTAAAGAATACATTCCTAAATTCTCCAAGTCAGACTCCACAGCTTCATATTTTGTACATTTCATTCTGTGATGATGGATCCCCTTGACTCGTAAAATATTTCTTTTTAGTTTTATCCTGGAAAACACGTCCACACTAACAATGGGCGACGATCATCTGCGNTGTAAAATAACTCTAACGCAAAACTCCACGAACTTATGTTACAACCCAATATTTTGTACATTTCATTCTGTGACGATGGATCCCCTTGACTCGTAAAATATTTCTTTTTAGTTTTATCCTGGAAAACACGTCCACACTAACAATGGGCGACGATCATCTGCGACGATGCGTGGTGGAGGAGCTACGCAAAGCTCACGGCGAACCTCTATCGCCAGATGACTTATTTGAGCGGTGTGGTGGAGCAAAGGCGACTAATCTCAACATGGAATCATTCATGTTCGTTTTATTCTTGAAGGTTATAAATAAGTTGACAACCTATTTGGATCGAAGCCCTCTAAGCCATTTGACAGGCGTCGCATGCATGTTCCAAGCTTTGCCCCTATTTCAAGATAACATGCTTCAATACAAAGACAATCAGCTGCTCCGCGAACGCTACGAGCGCTGGGGGCAATCCGTTCACACTTGAGCGTTTTGTGCTCAACGCTCTACTCTGAAAGCGCCCAGTCAATTCGAAAAAAGTGGCGAAGTTTATAGTAATCACAATCAAAACTGAGTGATCTGCTGTTCGAGGCTGTATTGATCAGAAAAGGTGAACTGAGTCCTCAAGTAAGATGAATAACTGACGAATTCAGGGCGTTCGTTGGACAACATTGCTCACGGGCTGTAAAAACCATTCAAGATGCGGGTGACGAGAACAGTCTTCCCAGGTAGGCTTGTAGAAATAGTGAACAGTCTCTTTCAAATCTCTGATTTGTCTCTTAAACTCAGTTTCGAATTTTCGAGATCGTGTTGTGGTGAGAGCTCATTTGTTTTACTATTCAGCGAGGCCTCATAATTACGTTGAAAGTATTTAAAGCACTTTGTAGGCGACTTTTCCTTAGTAGTAATTTGAAGATTCTCCATGAACCACTGAAAATGCAAAGGCTGAAGGAAGTATTTTTCTATGAACATAAGTGTAATTCTTATTGTCAGATTGTTTTAAAAGTGTTAAACCTGGTGCAGATATGCTCTTCATGTTGACTCTTCACGCAAGACCGGTACACTAAAGAGAAGAGGGACCAGGTCAAATAGTCAGTCGAGCTCTCGTGGTGGAACACCAGACGTTGTCCGCTTCAATCCTAGAACGGTATGCCAATATATTTTTCAAAGTCTGGAACTAGTTCTTTGTTCAGTGCTATGGCATCGTTTCTAGAAGATCACTATTACAGCTCAATGGCTTTGACGCTTTGATTATGAGGGAAAGTACAAGTTAGTGATTTTTTCGAGCTAATGTGAGTTGTTTAGGATGGCTTTTTGGTCTTCTGTCACATTGTACGAAAATTGTCATCATGCTCTCAGGACAGAACCATCAATTGGAATGTAATCAGGAATCAGTACAGGTACGCTTTATCTGCTATTTTTCCCATCTGGTTCTGGTGTTGCATGCTGGCATAACATTTTCTTTTCTGAGTTTTCAGAAAAGAAACAGGACGACATCTCAATGCAGAGGAGTTGAACTCCATGTGCGGAACCATCAATATGACAAAGTTTGTTTTGTTTCATGACCAGTTAGAAATTTGTGCACTGAAATGTCTAAAGCGAAGGTTTCTTCAGGCATGATCTCTTGAGTACCCATCTGTCATCGGTTGTGGAAATAATGGACAGCCGTGGTCAAATTTTGAGACCAGCTTCTCCTTTCAACCCGAAAACTCCTAGTCAGACATCATCCAATTCACGTTCATCACAAGGTGATTTATATTTCCGAAGATGAGAAGTAACGAAAGAGAAATGTAAGCATAATACATCACCAACACTGCAGATGAGCAGTTTTCACCCCCTCATCGAGCAACAGTCGACGTAAATAACGCGGATGAAAGTCAGGTAAGAATCTTGGTGATGTTACAAGCGACTTTGATAGATGGTCTGAATTAAGTCAGCGCTGCTCCAACATTAGTTGATTGGTTAACCGCTTAGAGTGTCCAGTGCATATTGAGTTTATGTAGTCAAAAAGTTTCTTACTTTAAGGGTAGTGCTCGACGCCAGCATATCGTGGAACAACTGAGGAAAAACGGTGTGCACGTGGACGAGAATGGGCGCATAGTTATTCCCCAAGAGCTGAGTCCAACCAATAGTCAAAACTCAGAACCAAGTGAGGAAGAATTGATGGTGAGTTAAGTGTCAATCGCTGCCGCTCTATTCATTGGTGTCTGATGTCGTAGTACGTATGCTGATTGGTTACCTTCGATTGTGCTTGCTGTCCATCGATTTTGCATCTCTGACTTGCCAGATGAATGATATACATTACTATCCAGCCTGGCTGTTGTCAGACTACGTCAGAGCTTGGAAATGCCTGTAACGGTGTTGGCTTGGCACTGAGACGTTGTGGAGCAGAATTGCTGGCGACACGCGGATCCTCTTCAATAAGGGTGTTGTCCTTAAAGAATAGAACCTTGGGTCCTGCGATCCATCGTGTTCCAGATGCCTCACCATTATCTAGCCTCAGTCGCGTAAAAACAATAGATGGTGAAACAAATTTGAGCAGCTTTCCATAGGTAGTGTAAGGACATACCGTGCTTGAACCTCGAAATGCCTAAACTCCAGTATCTCGTTTTTCACATTCCCCATCTCCTACAGAAGCAAAACAAGTCATGAAACAAAAAAGAAACCACTGAAGAAAACAGTTGAGGCAAAAGTTAAATCGATTAGCAAAGATCAGAGAAATACTTGTCGAAGGCTTGCAAATCTAGCGCATTTAGCAAAGTCGCACTTGTGCTGGACTGTTATTCGTTGTATCATAGCTTCCTTTTGTTGAATAAGTCAAAGAGACGACTAATTATATTGAAATGTTACTTGGTCATCAAGTTCTTTAATGTTTGAACCTATTCCGATAATTTTGTATATGAAAGATTACCGAAACGTATGATGCAGGGAATCATGACATTTGAGGAGCACTCCTCGTGTTTTCAAATTTGAAAAGGGAAAGTACTTTGACTAGAATTAATCCTTTGCGACGAGGAAGAAGTTTTCGCTAGTTGTTCTTTAGATCAACATGAAAACTCAGACTGTTAATATTCCAGAAATAGTCTGATGACAACTATTCTTCTATTCTTTTCATTCAAACCAGAGTACTTGGGTTTAGCAGTGCCGTTTGCTTTCCCTAATCACAATTGTATTTGATTCCAGGCATACATGACTCCAGCGGCTTCCTTCAAAGGGAAGGTGGCTCCCTCCGAAAAGGTTCGTTGTATTTTTGTCACATTTTTCTATCAGTATTTCATTAATTCTTTCATAACGAAACGAATACTTTTCACCAACTTTCTTCCTAGTTTCTCACAAGGTTATTACTAGTACAAAACCGAAACAATTTTTCATTCTCTCGATGAAGTATTTAAAATGTCCCACACTTTGAATCATAACAAGCAGAACTGTGGCTAAACGTGCAGCACTCATAGGGCAGAGTACGTAAACGATGTCTCATCCTTTATACTTACTCAGAAGTAGAAATTGAATATGATATGCACACCCCTCTCTGAGCAGAAAGCTGACTATATGCGTAGAACTGTATCCTGTAACACCATGGTTCCGCCGGGGCAAGGAGAGGGGTGGCATTTATATAATAATATTTACCCATGGTAGCAGTCTACTGTTTTCTGCTTGCCCAAATTATCTCATTGTGTCTGTTCTATCCTCGAGAAAGTGTGTAGTGGTGCTCGGCTCAGGCTGAAAACTATTATTTCAAGTGTTAGTATGATTACCGTTGTAGTTGTAGTGAGAATAACGATCATTAATCAAGAGTATTGGTTGATAGTCGTTTAGTATTGCAATGAAGAAAACCTTACCTCTGTCGTCTGAACATCACTGATTATTTCGGTAAGAGACGGTGACGCTGGCAGAAAATAGGCAAAAACTGATTTATTAGAAGTGCTAAATTATACCGGCAGGGATCTTTTTTATACGCATTTTCTATGATGCTCGCCAGACGTTTGTTCGTGATAGGAGGTTCACTATTTCGCGGTTTTCTATAATACATTTTATCAACTAAAAAAACCTCTGATTCAATCACACACTAGACTTCTTCCGATGATTCTCCTGATCAACGTGTTACCCTGGATTCTGGGAATACGTCATTTCTGTCTGTCGGGCAGGTCCTCGAGACAAGTGGCGAGGGAGCATACTTGACGGGAGACGACGCCGTGAGTTTCTACGGAGGTGGTTTTTCGATATATATGTGAAGAGCAACATGAAGGAATAGTTAAGGTCCAGACTCCGGAAAGTGATGTTTCACTTGATTTCTCCAATGATCGTTCAGCCCGTGAAAGTTCTCCTGGTCGTACGCATGAGATCACGTTGTGCAATATCGATGAATCTATAGTGTATCAAGAAGAAGAGGTATTTTTAAGCCAATCCCTCATGAAATTACATTTTTCTATTTTCTTAACGATAAATGTGATAAGAGCTAATGCGTTGCGTGTGAGACTGTCGCGCGCAAGGAAGAGCTAGAAATTACGGTCCAGGCTGGTAACATCGGTGTGTTATTGCATCATATAGTAGTTACCACTTGTGGCCGGCCTTATAAGAGCTTAGAATGAGAGAATGTATAGAAAGTATCTTTGGAAGTAGGGATTGTGATCTCTGAATAGTTGTGGTTGGCTGTAGGAAATCATCTCTCCATATTCATGCTGTTCGTTGAAGAACCACCACAGCGAGACTCATTTTTGAGTTTCTTGTTTGTGTCTCTGAAGCGTTGAGACCAGGCTCTTTTAGCCCCTTTTGAGCGGCAGGGACCGCTCAAAAGGGGTTAAAAGCCCAAAAACCTGACACACATCGTGAAGGAGTACGCATTGACTATGGGTATACGAATACGTCATTTTACGGTAAGGTACAATATAAGCAAAGCTTCAATATTCTTACGTATACTTAGGATTAGTGCCCTTACACAAAATTCCATAGAAGTTCCAGAGACTCTTGGAAAAACCAAAGTGCTGCAAAATTTCGGAGCATACTTATCTCACACTCATAGTTAGAAGTAGGAAATTATTGACACCCTCTCGACCCAACTGACTCTCCATCCTTTCCAAGTCGGTCAACTGAACAACAAACTTTAAAACGTGCAGTGAGCAGTGCGCATAGAAGTGGAACAAAAAATTTACTGATGATTATTTTATGAAGGATCCTTTCACATGAAACAGGCTTGACTATTGCACAGCACCATAACGTTTTCAAAATAAGTAATCAGATTCTTTCTAGAACTCGATACGTCATGATGAGGCCGATATAGTTGAAGTTGACGAGGAGCAATATGATGACCATGGTCAAGCAGCTGATGTTGATCGAAAGACTTCGATCGGAACAGGGAGTCCTATCATTGAAGAAGAAGATGAAGAAGTTGAAGAAAATGGATCTGATTCCGAAAGTAATTCCTCTCACATGGAGTGCTCAGTTCTTGAAAGGCATGACGAAGATGCCATGAGGGACAGTTCTGATGAAGCAACAGCAGCTCCTGGCGAAACAGGTGCCATCGAACAGTCAGAAATCAATCCTGAACCCTCTGTTTTTGTTCCATATTCGCCAAGCGTGAGCTCTGAACGCTCCGGTGCTTCGTATTATCTTCAGGAGATGGAAAAGAAAATCATCCTGCCAAATGCGCCCTCAGTTCATGATGAGAAAGGCATTTTCGAGAAGAAAACGATCGATAGGGTGGAGAACTCTATGGAAGGTCTGCAGCCTCCTGAAAATAGTTACGATTCCGAGAGGGTATCGTCCGAGAGAAGGGAAACGGTGACAGTGCCTGTTGCTCCCATAACTCCAGTGAAGGAAAGTATAGCGTTTAAAGAAGAAAATGAGATGAATGAGGAAGGTTTGCCTCTGAGCGACCCAGCTCTCCCCGAAGAGGAAGCATCGATGCACGTAAAAGAACAAGTTGATAAATTTGAGCATCTACAGGACAAGCTGAACGAGTCATCAGGTCACTTTTGCGAAAAAGAGCTCGTTGAAAACGTGCACGTGATGGAGGTTGTTCACGATTTGGAGAAATCAGATCAACATGAAAAGAGCGAGGAAAAGCCCGCTCTGAGCTATTTCTGTGAGGACGAGCTCGTGAAAAAAGTCAATGTGATAGAGACCGTTCTCAATATCGAGAAGTCAAATGAAAGCATGAACGAATCAATATGCCGAGTTCATGAGATGGCATCTGTAGAAAACGTGCATGTGATGAAGGCAATACATGATCTGGAGAGTCCCAAACGTATTGATAATGAGCATGTGAAGGAGTCGTTAGACCACTTCCCGGAGCGTGAGCTCGTGGAACACGTCAGTGTGAAGGATACTGTACATAACCTAGAGAAACCCGCTTCTGAATCACAGGCTGTCGTTGATCATCACGACGAGAAGCTGTTCCAAACGGATGTTCATGTTCACGATACGGTACATAGCCTTGAACATGAATATGATCCTTCCATTCCTTTGTGTGACGAATATGTGAAGATGGCGTCTCATCGACAAGATGCTGGAGATGCTCCTACTGCAGAATTTCTCATTGATGAGGTAACTTCAACAGATTTTCCCTTGACCTCTTCGTAGTCTGGAAATACTTCGAGTTATTTAACATATTTAAGACTCCTGTGACGAGCGAACACGAAGTCGCTGAGGTGGAATGCCACGTGAATTTGTCGCGCCCAGGTTTTTTTNNTTTTTTTCGATTTCATTTTTTTATTTGAGACACCGAAAAACACAAATATTTGTAAAATTGCTGTTTTCGGTTAGTGCAAAGCAACCATGTGATTTTTGCATATGCCTAGGTTAAGCAGTTTTTTTGACTTCTCAGTCTCAAAAAACGTTCTTTTATCGAGGGTAGCTACATTCAACTATCTAGTTGAATTTCGTACTATGCAAACAAGAACTTCGTTGTGTACCGAATCGAAGTGAATTTACATTACTCGTAAAAGTTCCCCACCGCTGAAAATAATCGTCAAAACAAAGTTGAATGGAGGGGGAGGGTGGTTTCTCTTAGTATATGGGGGAAAATCGGATGGTGGCAATCTTTTTCAACTAACAACGAGTAGATACCATTTGAAAGTGATGAATGCATGCACAGCATTGGTTTTCTACATAGGCAATCACCATTACCTTACTGCTTGCTGGTGAGATCACAATCTCATGAAATCAGTAGTAAGAATGAGCATCATCAGAACTCAGAGGTCCTAGGCGAATCAGAAGTCATATTTCTTCAAACCCATACCATTAATCCGACAATCCACAGCGTGTTCTGCATCCAAATTATGTCCTGAACCGACTTACTTCCCCATTCAAATTAGAATAAACAATTTGAGCTCTCAATGAAATCTCTGATGGTGCTTTATTGAAAGTGTCGCTGCTTTGAAAACCGTTCATTGCAGTTTAGTCGTTGTTTTGAGCACTCATGACAACCATATTCAACAGAGAGAAAAGTCATACCGTTATTTCGAAATCTTTTGATGTTCGTGAGGCCGATAATACCCTAAAATGATTTTTTTTCAGAAGAAACAACCAGTAAGCTAGTGACCGTTGCTGTTGGAGAAACAGAAGTCAAGCATGAAGCTGAAAAGGTAGTTGGAAGAACTTTAGAAATGTTGACATAGTTTTTTTGCATGTGCTCCATTTTGCATGTACATTTCCATAGAATTTGCCTGGAACTTTTTCAATACTCCTTTTGCGTGTTCTATGCAGGCAGTTGTGCTGTCAATTCTATTTTCAAGGTGGATCAATCCTTCACTGCACGAAACACCCAAACTGTTGTCGTTGAATTGAATCCTTGCACGGAAAACAAGCCAAAATTAACGGTTTGTCCCATAATACTTCCATAAACATACTAATTTTCCTTCCCTATTGTAGTAGTCTTTTTCCTTCGTGAAGCTCATATGAGAATTATCGCACTCAAGTTTTTACCCCGTTAACTGCTCTTGAAACAATTATTGAATAGCAGGCTTTGCATACCCAAAAGTGTTCCTTTTCGTTCCTTCTTATCTTTTTTCTTGTTGATCAGGAGGGCGTCACGTGGGAGAAGGAGTTCGTTGTCGCCAGTGGATCTGCAGCTCCTGAGAACCACAGGCCGTTAGATTATTCACTGGATACTGTGAGTAGCGAGTTCGGTGCAGTGAAGAACATGGAAAAGGAAGACAGTGAGGTCAGTACTACTAAATGCAATACTATTGAAAGCTTACTAAACTGATTGTGAGGTTTTTTTTGCTGGCTTCATGGCTCAGAGCTTAACTATTAAGCGAAGGGTAATGGATAAGTGATCTTGGATGTTCTTGATTTTGAACAACCCATTTTATGGCCTGGCCCTTTCTGTCGTGCTCCCAAGTAGACGATGAATCGGATTCACTGGCCCTCAACCCGTCGCCGCCACACTGCACGACTTGACCTTGTTATTATATCTGCTCATAATGCATTCGCCCATTTTCCGGTGGGATGAAGTTACGCCGTCCATAAATTTGTTATATCGATAGCGGAAAATTGTGAAGTTCATGAGATTTCATGTGTTATCTACCATGAGCGATATAGTCTGCAGTTGCCGAAGTTTTGCACGTAGCTTTGGAGCTCATTCGGGGGGTTATTCACAAAGGGTCGCACTGGGGTTACCTTGCAGGGATGTCGCATGGAAGTTTGATTTGATTTCTTTGTAGTTCATTTTTATCCCTGTTTATGGATGTGCTGAAATAATATCCATTTTAAAGGTCCCCATCATAACTACTGAACAAATTGGAGAACTAGGAACAACTGAAGAACTTCCGTCTATGCCTGTTCCGTTCCCTTCTGATAATAATGCAAAGGTGAGATTACTGCTTTCAAGTTTTATGGTTTTTTCTGGTCTTCCTCACTTTTATTGTTTCTTCTCTACAACTTGCAGTACTTATTAGTGGCATTTATCATAGTCCTGTAAATTTAGCACAAGCATGTGACCAGGTCGGTAGGTCACGGCCAATTGCTACTTCCACGTCGCCGTTTAATGGACTGTTGCTCGATCTTGTAATATTCCGAAAATGTTCGTTTTTTACAACTGCTATGGTCTCTGCTTGGCTTTCAACTTTAGTACTGCCTGATAGTGCCTTTAGCACTGTCATGCACAACTTTGATGAGCAATTCTTTTGTTTTACTGTTCTATTCACCCATATTTGGGAGCTTTAACTACACTGTTCATATCGTTTCCATATCAATCATAATACAATCTGTACATAACCATTTTTTTCTCTAGGCAAGCTCAAATTAGTCGTGCGAATATGAGTTCAGATTTTAGGATGAGGAAGTTTAGTTGAATTACGTTTTCCCCTATTTTCTTGGTGCTCAATTTCAATTGTTTTCGTCGTTGATGAGATTGCACACACTCTGTGAAGGTTATGTATAATCTGCGATAATCCACCGTATATACGTCATATCTGTATGAGCTTCTTGTTAATGATAAATTTTTAACTGTTCTTACTTGATTTTGGTAGCTGCTGTTATTTCGCCGCAGTACGCGACCTGAAAAACTCACAAGATTGGTGATTATGG